TAGTGGTCTTTTTGTTTTTAGCTCATTAGTACAATTTCTACTTTATGATAAGCCATTTATAATTGAGTAATTCTTTTATCATCATGATGTTGGAATATCGATGATACAACAACTCATTATCCGTCACAAACCATGTCTCTTCTCCCTCTCTCATAAAAATTGAACTACACAATCTCATTATTCCACATAGATTATCGCATCACTGATATTCTATTATCATAATTGATAAATAGAATTATTATATATATATATTCAAAAAAAAAAAAATGACGATTAAACCACCCCACCTGCTCTCCTTGCCATAGGTAAATGGCTCCAATTAAGAGGAGCACAGCTTTCAACAGGACTCAGGACTCACACACTGGACATGAGTATGGGAATATATAAATCATACTAGTCATTGAAGGCCTCAACTACAGGATATGGACGTGGCGAATTCCAATTTTCTGTAAGTTGTGACAAGAAATATGGAGTTCAAGCCTTCAAGTGGCATAGTACATGAAGAAAATACGACTAAAGTTTCCTATCAACTACAAACTAATCCAACATTACTTCATAGGTTTGCCCGCATATACATAAAGAACACTCTAATCCTCTTTCCTCACTGCTATCAATTTCTTTATAGAAGGCAGGAAAATGAACTATAAGAAAAACAAATTTTTGGAAAATTGGCAGAAACTAACAGTCATTTCTTCAAGTGTCCACACAGTTAATGAAACACAAGAATACACCAATACAAAACAGCATATGACACAGCTAGAAAAACCCACAACTAGCATCTAGAAAAATAAAAACCATTTGTAACAAAATAAAGGCCAAGAAGCCAAGGAAGAGGAAAAAACTGAAAAATTTATAAACAAACCATTCACTGCACCGCATGTGCCAAAATATTTTAGATTCTTTAATACTCTTCCCTCCCATCTATTAGCGAGTACCAAATGTGCCATTAAATGCCAAAAGAAGAACAGCACCAGAAGCAGCCCCCACATAGTTAAACAACACGGATATCATATTCTATAGGATTTGATCAAATCGTTCTAAATTTTGAGGAAATTAGAAAGATAGTTTTTTTTTTTTCCCAACTGTATTCTTCAGTCAATGAAATTGAAACCCACATGATTGATTACCATCACAGGCGAAAATGAAACTAGAGCAGTAAAATAATTACCCGAATATTCATTCCAAAGGCCAATTGAAGTTTAAAATTAAAAAACGAAATAATTTGCACAAGCATTAACAAACAAATTAGGAATACAAGTACCTGCAGTGAACAAGGAAGTGTTCGATTCGAATGGCGTTTCAACAGACTCCGAAGCGGAAGAAAATCTCGTTTCTGGATCTTCAAGCCGAGTGTCTCGCAAAATTTGCTTAACAATGTATTTCTGCTAAATCTTTCTGCCTCAATTGAAGAGGTGGGAATTAGGTTTGAGGGGAAATGACAATTTTGGGGGAAAACATATTGGAGGCAAAGAGAGTGGAATAACGTAGGTGTAGAAGGGTTTTTCACTATCGAATTAGTTAACCCAAAAATAAATAAATAAATAAATAAAGCATTTTCTCTTTTTCTTGCTAAATTCAAATAAATATTTTGTAGGGATTAAAATTATAAATATTGAAATAATAATTGGAAAATATTTCGTTAATTATTAGCCTACAAATATGTCAAATATTTTTGTGGGCAAAAGATATATTTGAATTAAGGAAATATGATAAGGATGGAAGCAAATAAGTTAAAATGGAATAAAATCATTCATTATTTACTTTTTTCAGAAACTTTCAACTACAACACTTTATGATCGTTGAATGCCACCTTCAACGACTATGCCTTATTACTCGTTGAATGCCGAAAACTATTTTGGTGCCAAGCTAAAGTCGTAACCAAGTTGTCATAAACCTCCAACGACTATAACATAATCGGTCGTGGAATATCACGTGTAACGTCCACTAAATAAACAGTTGTTAAATGTCGAGTTTTTATTTACTTTCAACCACAAGATAAAATTAGTTATTTTTTTACTATATTAACGACCAAACATTGTGGTCGTCGAATATTTACTATATTATTTTTGCTTTCAATAACCAATTTTATTGTCGTTGAATATGAACAAATATTTTGGCAGGAATATTTTATTTGGCGCCCTCTTAGAACGACCAATTTAAATTTGGTCGTTGCAAATATAGATTTAACAACCATCTTTTCGATCATCGTAGGATATTTCCAACTAATTTGAAATTCGATTCTTTGTATTCCAATTTCAACGACGAATTGTATATTTTGGTCGTTGAAAATTATTTTCAACGACCAGATTAATTTGATCGTTGTAATATTAGTTGTTAAATATCATTTTTCTTGTAATGTGTGGATTTATGAAATGTGTAGTTAAAAATGAGTTGAACAAAAATGAGTTTAGCCACCATTAAAAATATTAACGTTAAATGTACCAACTCACTTGGTTTATGTTTAGTAATGCTTTTTGTAAGTTGTAGGTCTTATGAAATGTGAAATAAATTATGAATTTCACGAAAGGTATAGATAAAAGTAATGTTTAATTAGCTTATAAACTTAAAAAAAAAATGATTTGCCAAAAATCTATTAATTGAAAAGAACACACTTTCTGTTGCGAATCTACTTATACATGCACAGCGGAATTTAAAATATATTTCGATTCCCATCCAATAGATCTCATTGTGTTTGGTTAGGAATTGTGATAGGATTGTACCTTTTCCAGATCTGCAATCCTTTTGCTTTTCTTTTCGTTCCACAACTTTGATTCGCCACCACAGCTGTCCAATTGTCCAGCCTCCAACGGTGATCCACACAGAGAAAATGATTGCAGCCTCTAGGGTTTTCTCTCTCTCAATATAAATCTAAATCTCAAAGTTGTAGATACGGAAGTAATTTTCCTCACCAATCGTTGCACGTATTATGAGGCGGAAAGATGTAACATATAAGAACATGATAGCGAATATTCTTGTTTAATTATAACACAATTTATTATTATTATTATAGAAAATGCTCATAAAGCGGCATGCCTCATGAAAAGATTATATAGCTGAATTGATGAAAGCTAGCAATAAGCACAAATTCGATCGAGTAAAGCACAAGATTTTGAAATGATTTCTCAAATTCTGCACCAAACTAGAATAAGAACGAGAACCTAAAAATGCAATTTTTGTTGTATCTATATACAGAATTCATGTAAAGGGTCTCACATATAAGGTGACTTGAAACTATGATTATCAATAATATCCTCTTTCATCATAAAGCCCCGAGTTGAGAAATTATTCTTCACAATTTTTTTATTTTATTAGTCGACTCCGAAACCTCAACTTAGATCGAAGAAAAATCACGGTTATCAATAATATTCTATTTGGGATAGACAAAACACAAATACAATCCTATTTTAATTTGACAATACTAAAGTGAAATTCCTAACAAGTTCCATGATCCTTCCTATGTTACAATCTGTATTTTTTTTTTCAATATTAATACACTTTTTACGGTTGTCATGATTTTATTTGAAAATGGGTTTCACTTTATGTTGACAAAGACCAAGTACACTTCCATAGAAATGAAAGTGTGCCCATTTAATTTGTGTACAAAGAGTCCAACCAAGAATTTCATGCATGCTTCCATGCATTTTCAAGTGGGCCCATTTAAGTAGTCGATGAAACCGACCAAAAATTTTCTAGAAAAAGATAAGTCTACGTTACTTGTGATTTTCGTTCAAATCAAAATTGTTATGATATAATTTCACGCCGCAACAAGGATGCCCCATTTTTGCATATGAAAAAGACCAACCAATTCATAGAAATTATGGTCCAATATAACTTACTTTCTTGGAAGTTATGTTTACCTGTACACAATTGTCTTCACTTTGTCGAAGATAAAAACCAACCAAGAATTTCTTGGAAATTATTGGACAATTAAGCCTATTGATAAAATAGTTTATAGTCACCATAACCCTCGAATCTTCTCGAAAAATTGAGTTTTATATGTATGTGTGGGTTAATTTCTTTAATTGTCATTTAAGTTTTGAGTAATTACATCGATGATCGTAAACGTTATTTTCTTACGATAATCATCAATAAAGTTTATGTTGTTTACACTAAAAGTCACTCAGTTAAAAATAGTAATTTTAAATTCTATGTGGCACTAAGTCCCAGTGGTGTCACTAACAACGTTATTCATTATGACAATAAAAGTTTATTAATGAAAACATTCACATGAGAAAACATAATATAATTTTCATTTTGGTTATATTTTTAGCTTAAATTGTACGGTAAACCATAAGTTTATTTTAACGAAGGTTGCTTAATTGGGATAATAAATAGACAAGGTTGGCACTTAATGACACAAGTGATTATTATTGTAGTAATTTATAAAATTTGAGTGAACATTAACGGAAAACTATAACTTCAATGATTATTAGATTACCAAAAATTTTAGTGACCGTCGACGTAATTAACTCGTGGAATTGTATATAAATTACACGTTCAGTTGATCGTTGGATAACAATAGAGGATAATTTCAAAAAAATGTTAAACCCTAAACTTAAGGGTCCCCCACCACCCCTGTCCTGGAGTATCGTGAGGGAGGTAAATCGCAGGTTATGCTTCCAAGGGTACAGGGTGGAAGGCTGCTTGTACACTTGCACTTATCTAAGAGCCAAATCCATATTTCAGGATTCGAACCCTTGACGCAGCAGCCTCAAGTAAAGCTGGATTTCTCCACCCTCCCCTTTTACAACTTGGAGATGTGCCCTGGGGGCAACAATAGAGGATAATTTCAAAATGCGTGGAAGAAGCTGAGGAGTAATCTTCAACAGAGACTTAACAGGCAAGTCATTGGGAAATTTACATTATAATATATTAAACTATTTTAAAATAAAAAAAGAAAAAGAAAAAACCACACAATTTCACAACGAAGTTTACGCGTTTATCTAATTATAAATATAATAAAGCCTTTTGCCATGCATAAAATTTCCCTCTCATAACAACACCAGTTTCTTGACAACAAATGCTCAAGCATAGACACACTTCCTTTACAAGTCTTTTGTTTGAAGTCGGCTGAAGAAATAGGATTCATTGTCGCGAGCAAATCAGGTACTATAATTAAACTTTTCTTCTATTATATTGTTCAGTTCGGTCTAGTCGAGTCGAGTCCTTGATATCATACCGTGTTCTTAGTTCATTTGAGTTTGGATTAATTAGGCCATAACAATTTTCAGGAGACAATATGGCAATCACTAGATCATTAACCCATGTTTGCTATGATCACTATGAGTTGAAAACATATGCGAAGTTGTTCAACTGCGACGGCTGCAAGATGAAAGGGTTCGGAGAAAGGTATACGTGCAATCTTTGTGGTCACGAACTACACAAGGAGTGTAGGCACCCCAAATCTGAAGTTTCCCATGAGAATTTTGGTGGCTCCATCTTCACATTTCTCGATAAGCCATTCACCAGATCGGGTAAAAAGAATCGCAGAGAGTTTTCGAAGTGCTGTGATGCATGTGGAAAGGACATATGCGGTTTTAACTACCACTGTGAAGAAGACAACTTGGATTTACACCCATGTTGTCGTAGAATTGAAAAGAAACTAGTAATTGATGATACAATATTTGATCTTGAGACAAAGGTTTCATCAAAGTGTGGTAAGTGCAGAAAGAAGAAGATTTCTAGTGACGAGAAAAATGTTCAGGGATGGTCTTATGTCTCTCAGTGCAAAAAGTATCATTTTCATGTGTATTGTATAAATGAAATGGTACATGAGGCGTATATGAAGCATGGGGATTTGGCATTGGAGAATATGGATTTAAGAGATTTGGTTAGATATAATAGAAACATAGAGGGTGGAAATACCTTCCTTACAACAATCAAATCGTTCATCAAGATCCTATTGTCTGCTCTTTTGGGTGATCCGACGATGCTGTTTTCCAATTTTGCGGTGGAGATGATTTGGCGTGGCATTTAATTACAGTGTCTTTCTTCTTCTATTTTTCAGTGCGGTGTGTAGGGTGGGTGGGGTTTTGTTGAAGGTGTGAAAATGTTTGCATATAATAATAAGGTTTGACATAAATAAATGTTTTGTTTGTGTTCTCTTGATTCAATTCACTTTTCCAATCATGTGACAAAATTGTGATTTTGTACTTTTCTTGTATGTGAATGATGGTTATTGCAATAGAAATTTTAATTTGAATCAACATATAGAGCAAGTGTTAATAAAATATAAATAACATCAAACTTATGTGTTCCATATGTTGATTATGTAATATTGAACGTTATTAAAGAAGAAAATAATAATAATAATAATCATTTTATTATTTAAATCTTGTTCAATGTTGCACACCAAATATAGATTTAAAATTCTGGTTCTGAATTTCAGTTAATAATTTGTCAAAATTCTATTAGTAACCTTTGCAGTTATATTTAGTATTTATCTCTTTCATCGTTCATTAAATAAACTTTATTAACTCAAACAATTAACATTTACCATAATAAAGGCCATTTTATGGCATAAAGTATAAAAGGGTAAATTTGCAAGTTTGTCTGATGTTGGTCGTCAGACTTCAATTTTCTTAAATTTAATTGCTCGACATATAACCCTTGTTTGAGTTCCATTTTTGTCAAGAAAATATATTTTTGAATATTGTAATAATGTGAAATGTGTGGTTAAAAAATAAAGAAAAGTTTTAGATTTTCGTGTAATATTATTTTATTAAAGAATATGTTGTTGAAATGATATCAAAACACTGTTTCGAAATGTATTTTTTCAAAAAAATGGGACTCAAACAAGGGCATAATATTATTTCACTTTGACAATTCCATTGGTAAATTTGACCAAAAGTAATGGCAAAATTTTCGTTAAATAAAACGCATGCTATACCGTTAGACTGAAGACGAAGTTAAATCAGCACATTTTTCTTACAAACATAAATATTCGAATGTGCAATATCTTTCCAATTTTTAAGGAAAATTATATGTACGAAATTAAATCACCAAGAAGTGGCTCCCGTAACCTATTATTGATGCGGTATTAATGTCATCGCTTTCCCTTCCTCGTGGGACTTTTTGGATTACGGACTCTTTAATTTGTGTTGTTCAATAGATATATGTTACTGATTGTAATGAAAGTTATCCAACGCATTTTAAAAAGAAAAAAAATAAACAAAATATAAGATGACAACTGTACTACACTATATTTTTATTAAATATAATAGTCTTGATTTCGTGTCTTAATTTCTTTCTATTCTAGTTAAGATTTTAATAAAGATCGTGTTTGACCTGCTTAGTTAATTAACTACTCCCATAAATTGACTTTCTTCGACTTTATTGATTACTTAAATAACAAAATTATTGGGTAATTAATGACGTTATTAATTATGTTTCATGACGTACGTGTACGACGTTACCTATGGAGCATCATTAAAGTGCCGGCTTCTTAGTACAAAAATTGAAAAAAGTTGTCGGTTTTTTCATTGATTATAAAATATTAATATTTCCCATATACGTGTAAACTTTGAATAATGACACGTTCTTTGATAGTTTTAATTGTGTACTCACACTAATTTTTATTTTTGGCACTAAACATTTAAAATTCTCAACATTTACTCATTAAAATACTTATGTCCCTAACGATTTTCACGTTATTCTTAACCTTAAAATTTCAATTAATTAACACATTTTGTCTTTGATAATAGTTTTATGCCCAAAAATTTATTGAAATGATGTAAAATAACTTATTTTGTCATTATCTTTTAAAAATAAGTAAAGTCGTGTTCTCATCATATTAAGTAATAAAAATCATTGGGTAATTAATGACATTATTAATTATCTTTCATGACATATATGTAGGGATGGCAAAAAGGTTTGAAGGCTCGGACCGTGCAAAATGCTCGAGTCGGCTTAGCTCGAGGCTCGATCAAACTGAGCCAAGGCTGGCTCGAAGAAAATAAAGAAAAAAAGAAAAGTAAGGTAGCGTGAAAGGCAGCTAGCTGCCTTCTTGAAAAAAAAATGTAGAAAAAGGAAAAAAAATCAAGTCGGCTAGCCTCGAGCTGGAAGCTCGGGCCAAGCCTTGACTTTTTGGCCGAGCTTTTGCTCGGATTGTCTCGGGCCAAAAAAAGTCATCTTCAAAAAACTTGAGCCGAACCTGAGCCTTGATTTTTGACTCGCGAGCCGACTCGGCTAGTTGCCATCCCTACATATATGTTTGAGACATAATTTATGAAGCATCTTTAGTACTTGTTTAGCACAGATTTTAAGCCAATTAAAATTAATTTTTTAATCGTTATTTCACTATTCCACCTGCTATTTTTGAATTATTCTCTTATAGGTAGAACCCACTTTATCTCCAACGGTCAAAAAATCAATTATCAAAATTTCCATCTTACAAGCACTTAGTCAAAGTGGAATTAATTAAATGATTGCTCATTGAGTTATACACTACATTACAATTTGCTTATTGAACAAAAAAAAATTTACTCATTGCTCACTGATTTATCCAAATGTTTACCCATCCATCACTTCTTTTAAAGTTGTTACCTATAATTGACAAAAAATACCACGTGTATGACGAAAAGTTGCAACCTAACACCATTAGTTTGTCCACTTGGATAAAAAAATAATGATAATAAATAAATAAAAAATAACACTCAATCAAAATGACAACTTTTGTTTAATTTGTGAAACACACTTCTAAGGCCATCTCCGATGGAGATACCAAAACACCAAATTACCCCAAAACTACTCCAATGAAAGATCAAACTTTGTACCATTTTGCACCAAATGGTCCAAAGTCAATTTTATCCTTTATTTTCATTTTCCAATTAAATTGATTAAGGGTATTTGTGTCATTTGCTCTATATATTTTTAATACAATAAATTATTATTATTATTATTATTATTATTATTATTATTATTATTATTATTATTATTATTATTATTATTATTATTATAGGCTTTTGCTGTTTCTTTTGAGCCGGATAGGATGCATTATTATTATTATTATTATTATTATTATTATTATTATTTTCATTTAAAATAAATTTTAAATGTAAAAAATAATAGTTAATGAATTAATTAAAATAAGAATACAAAAAAATTTAAAATATAACAAACACAATTATTTGAAGTTAACACGAAATATATTACAACAACGATATACATACATTAATCTAATTTTATTTAAAGAAAACAATACATAAAAACAAATGCATAGTTTAGTAATCTGGAAGACAAAAATCATCGTTTTTATGAATTTATTGCTCGTCATAGACAAATCAAGGGTAAAGAGGCTCATATTACACTTCGAAATGCATTAATCGATTACTTGTGGGAAGAACATATGAATTCCGAGAATTAAATTACAATGATATTTCGACTTCTTAATATCATAATATCCAAATTCAAAATGCATTGTACTATTTTTTAATGGCATGGTTTAATATTTTCATTTTTATAGTGTTTTTACTAATTGTATTATGTTTTTTTATATTTATTAATGAATTTAATATTTTCCTTAATTTAACGTAATATTTATTTAGTAATTTATGTATTTGTAAAATAAATAAATAATATGTCAAATAAACAAATTATTAAGAATAAAAAAAGAGAAGAAAATATTTAAACATTGTTCAATTAGTGTAATGATTGGATATGAATTTTAGTTTGATGTAAAATTTGGTGTAAAATGATGCAGGACTGGAGATGGCATAAACCTTCAAATAAAAAATCCGCAAATTAAAACACGAAATTACACAAATCAAAATCCCCAATGATAAACCCTGGACCTTACCCAAACCAAATTCAACAATTGGCTATATTGATTGAAACGATGAATATTGATTCCAACTCTAAAAAGTCTTGCGACCTGCAGTAGGTCCTAATTTCTGGTGGTTTAAGGTGAATTTACCATGGACTTCGTTTTGGTTTGCTGAGGAGTTCACCTTTTGTTCTTGATTTCTAGTGTGTAAGAGTCTCGAAAAAAGATGATCTCTCGTACCGTTCTTCCTGTTCTTGTTTGAAAGAGGACTTCTATCAAATTGTTACACTAGTGTATCATATTTATTAGTGGATTTCATACATGGGTATTCAATATTGATAGCTTCCTTCCAATGCGGTGCTTTCAGAATAGACATTGATTCTTCAGAAGTCTTTGGGTTATTTTCTACCATATATGTTAGAAAATTCGGACCAAACGAAGTGTACATTCTAGCCCTCTTACTACACCTTGGTTCTTCCTCATTTGAAGACCCATTTGTAGTTTCATCTGTTCTTTTATTGAAACTTACATTTTCCTTGTCTTGCAAGGAAAAGCATTTCGTGTACATTCGATTTGTGTACAAGGAAATGATATGCATTACTATTATTAGTGTATCCAATAAATATGCAATCAATCGTTTTGAGACCAATCTTTATTTGTTTTGGCTTAGGAACCTCAACTTTTACCAAACACTCACACACTTTTAAATGCTGGTAGGAAGGAGGATGACATTTCCATAACTCATATGAATTCTTTTCTATTTTCTTGAAAGGTATAGGAAAGTGTAACTTTAAATTAAGTTACCCCCAGAATTCCTAAATTAGGAATATATATGCAAGTAGTTGTATTGCGCCCATGTGTCTTGAACTGTTCATATAAGTTCTCAAACATTTATGATAACCTCCACATTTTTGAATTATTCTTGAATTTAGAGTTTATCAGCTTTTTTATAATTCAATTCATTTATCATTTAGATAATATCCGTATTAGATGCTTGATGAAAGTCTAAATACTTTCAAAATAGTGGCTGATGCGAACCCCATAGCAACGTTGACTACGAAACCCACAACGAGATTGACGAACCCAAGAAAACCAAATTAATCCAAAAGTTTAGGATTAATCCAAAAGAAAGTCGAACCAAAAAATCCAACAAGAACGACGCTTGAAAGACCCCTTGATCATGCAATCCAAGAATTAAATTCGGTTGTTTGAACGCCACAAGTTAACATTTGATAAGTTCGAAATTGTTCAATGAAGAACGATGAAGAGAAGGCAATACACCTCACTTTAATTCAATATCAA